TGATGGAGAAAGCCAGAGCCTTCAAAAAGACAGAACTGGTCAAATCTGCACTCTGTCTTGCACCTTAAATATTGTCAAGACTGTGGCTTGCACTTGCTTGGCTAAAGAAACACAAGCTTGCTCCTGTGCACTCTGGCAGTGTGAAATGGTCTACAAATGAACAGAAAAAACATTTCTCCTTTCCTTAGAGCAGAAGTAATTAGTGATAATAAAAATATTTTAAAAGGACAAGAACCTGCATAAGACTCTTAGTAAAATAACTCATCTTCTCTTTGTTTGAATGCATATTTTAAAAGACAGTGCATTTTCTTCATCTCTATTAATTTGTACTGTTTGATGTCACGTTCTGATGATTAATATTAGTTTTACACGGCTAGGGGAAAAAAGAAAGCCTTATGTCTGTGTAGTCAAGATAAACATCTGCTGCCATTTTATAAAATGTCCTACAGTTTGTGCTCGTGCTGTTTTGTGGAAGAGCACACTGCCTTACTATAGTCCTTTCATCACCATGTGTCTCTGAATTTCCATTCTCACTTTCTGCCAGGCCACCTTTGCAGCACTTTTGAGAGGAAGCTGTGAGATGAAAAGCCCTTTACTAAAAGGATAGCGGGTTTACTGAGCAAAGGCGTGGATTGTGTCGTTTGCTCTTCAGAGTGATGGCTATGAACGAAGACAGGGAAATAGAACTTGGCCTTCCTTGGATGCTGGTATGGATATTGGCCTGGAATTTGCAAGATTCACTGCTTTTGACCCAGGAGCTCACCAGGTGAAAACAGAGCCAGACAGAGTGGGAGGAGCTTGAGAAACACAGAGCTAAGTGGTAAGGATGGGTAAATAGATTATGCACATGAAATAAATATTGCCATTCTCTCCTCTTCTTGCAGAGCAGCTTTAGCAATACAAATTTCAGTCTATGCCTTTTCTTTCTCAGTTATAAAAGGTGAGAAATCAAGGTGTTCTCAGAATTTCAGAATGAACTTGATATAGTTATCTGACACAGGCACCAGGCTTGGTTTTCCTGCACACAGAAAGAAGAAAAACTAAGTGGACAGGAAAAGGCTGTGTGATCCTGTGAACAGTATTTGCAAATTACTGTTAAAAAGAGGGGCATTCCATAAATCAGAAAACCCTGAACTGAGATTTGAAGATTATGTAGCTAGTGAGCTCCGACTGGATTTCTGTGAATTAAAATCTAATTTTGGAGGGTCAGGCGGCACAGAAGCTTCCAGAGTCACTATACCTCTTGCACATCTTTTTTGCTCTATCTTCCTCTATATAAAGGTTCGTTTCTCAGAGAGTCATAGCTCAGTTCCTCTGTAGGCATGCACTATATGCCACACTTCAGTCACATGATCAACAAAAATTTAAAGATAGCATTAGTATTATCTGCATTATTTTAGCTACTATAAATTCTATTTGGAGAATTTGGTGAATATTACAATAAGAAACTGTTTGGGTTTTTTTCGCTGAGGTCTTTCAATTTAAATAATCAGAACTTGCAAATGATGGAAAAGGTGTCAGTGAAAAATGGGTATTTTGATGAAGCCCATGCGGTAGGACAGTGTGAGCCAAGAGCAGAACCAGATCTCTTTAAACCTTGTGCCTTCTTACAGGGAATCAGACATCCTCTTAATATATTGAGAACTATTTAAAAAAAAAGCTTATTTTTATCCAAATCTAGGGTCTTGCACCCTGCTATTTATCAAGTATATGAACACCATGAGCTCTGTTGTTTTACTTTCCACTCTTCCACAATTATTTCTTTTTCCTAATCAACATTCCTATCCTAATCGAAAATTTCTTATTATTTTTTTTTTTGCTAATCAACACCTAGTGTTAGAAAATTGATTTGCAATAACAAGCAAAGTAGCAATTTTTCTGCAGCCTTTTAAAACTTAGGTATCTCTGAGGTTACTTACAGATTACTTACATAAACTGCTTTGAGCAGTATTGAAATGAAGTTTTGTATCTTCTTCCAGCATTTGCGCTTACAAAGAAGTCAAAAAGAAAAGGAATCTGTTGTGTACCAGGCAATTTTCAAATATATGGCTGTGTTGCTACTTATTCCATAGACTCCATCAGTTTTAAAACTTCCATTATTTCTATCCAACAGAATTTCACAGCATTTTCTACAAGATGGCATGTAATAAAAGATGCATTATTAGTACATTATTTATGGTTTCTTTTACATTTCTGTGACTCAGAAATGGTTTAGCATTTCTCTACTTCACATCTTCCAGATGATCATAGAAGATCATAGAACAGATCAGAAATGGGCACTATAGCAAGTGAATCACAGGAGACATTAGCAAACATGCCTGAATAAAAGGAGGGTAAACATGGTGAAATACTAGCAGCAGCACTGCAAAGAAATCTAGAAATTATGCTAAATTCAATCTGAGAATAGACCTCCTGGGTGACAACCTTTATAGGTCTGTTTCCCACCAGGACTTCCGAAATCTCCAAATAGGAATGTTTCCTGTAGTTAGAGCTGAGCTTAGTTAGAGTTAGGTTCCAATAAAGGATTTGGCTACTCCCATGTGTGATAAGATTTTCTAGCCAAGACTTCAGGTTTCTAAAGTGTCAAGCTCTGCAGTCAAACAAATGTATTCCCTCCTCGCATACAGCCTTTCTGTTACAACTAGGTTTTGCACTCCTGTGATGCACTAGGCAGATGGACCTGATCAGCAGCATCCTCAAGGAGGGCAAGGATGTGTTTGGAGCTATGTTGGTGGCTTTCCAGATGCACATGGTCCCCTCACCAAGCAAAACAGCACATAGCAGAATGTATAGTGCCTCATGACTTAGTAAAGAAGAAAGTCAAGGAAGTATGGCCTATGATGAAGGAATCTGCTTTAAATAAAGTTCTGATTTATTGCATCCTGATGTTTGCTTGGGATTTAAATGTCTACATAATGTGATGAGAGATGTTGCTGCTTTATTTGGAATGGAAATTACCTTATAAAAAGAGATGCGCTAACCCAGGTTTTAGTCTTATGTATGAGGAGTGGATTATTTTCCCCTCAGTCTAATATGCCTGCAAATTATAATTAGAAGGCAAATATCTCCATACAACCTCTGAAAATTGTGGACTGTAAATCTTCTTTAAAAGGGAAAATACTCAAATATCAAAATAGAAACTGAGGAAAAAGAAATAGAAGTGTCATTGTCTTGCACTGATCAAAACAATGCTCTTCCCTGACTTAAAATGTGGCATATTCTAGGCTTGTTCAAACATTCGGGTCAGAGCAAGTTTTGACAGTCACATAAGGAAGCTGAATGAGAAGAGTGAATGAAGAGAAGGATGACTTTAACTGTTAAACAGAGATAGCACCAGCATAATTATTGAACTTCACAGAGGAAAAATATTAAATAGTGATAGCTGAATATTCAGCTGAATTCAACTATAGAATAGTTTTAACAATTCAAAAAATAGCCTATAGTCATATATACATATTAAAATAGTTCTCTTTAACCTGTCAGCAAGATTCTGAAATCTCTATCTAGTTGATCAGATAAAACATTGATTTATTGAGGGATTCCTTAGTTCCTGTGAACTTGCCATTTTTTTCCAACTACTTATGTTGTTTCACAAGCTCTGGTCTAAATTAAAAAGTTATTTTAAGATAGTGCGGTAATACCTTCCTCTTAAACAGGAAGCTGTTGCAAGCCACTGCACTGAAAGAGAAATTTGCATGGTAGGGGAAGTAGGCAAGTTCATGAGCAACAGATTGCATGGGCATGAAGTTAAGTTAGTGTTATTGTTTCTGACAAAATTGCTGTCTCAGACCTAGGTTTTTCAACATGAAATCAAAATGATATTCAAGTGGTAATACTGTCTATATATAAACATAAGTTGGGGTTGTGTTCATTCCTTTCTCTTATAAATTTTTACCCTTCATAGCACGGTTGCAAAAATGAGTTGATCTCAAATTAATATGTCCCTTTGCCTTTCTTACTGAAGTTATTAGGGCATATGGTGTAAATCTCAGCTGCGGAAATGAAAAATAGATTCTTTGGAATGTGTCAGGCAATTCTCTGAAATCAGTGCTGACTTAAATATTTCTGCACCCCTTCAAGTAACTATTTAGTAGTTTAGCTTTGTATTTTTTGGCATGCTCAGTATGTGTTCATGTTTCTTTGTTTTAGTAATACTAAATACTACTGGGACATTAAATGTTCTAGAAGTTACACAGCAAAGCCATCTGTAACACCTGGAATACAGAAACTATAAAATCAGTTTGAGTTTCTGACCATGTACAGTGAAATATTCCTTTCTTCACATTTTCAGCAGAGGTATGTAGAATAGATAATGCTTTGGACAATGAAACCTTTGGCTCCAATTCTCATACCTGGACTGAACTGCTCTGTGATTGTTGGCAACTCACACTTGCTTTGTGGAACAATGAAATCAGAAGTTCTGAATATTGTTTTGACTCAAAAACATAAACCAGTGTAGAAATGCCTAACAATATGTTTCACAATTACCTAAATTTTCTTTAAAATGCTTGACAGGCACATACATAGCATAAATGAGAATTATTTACTTGTTTAATATGCAAGAAAGTGTGTCCCTTATTACTTTTTCACCTGTTCTTTGATCTTTCAGAGCTGTAACTGCTTCTACGTTTGACAGACTTCTTGTTTCTATTGCATCTCCAGCACAGAAGCGTATAATGAGCAAGAGGCTTTGTTATCCTACCTTGAAAGGAAGGATTGGAAATTATAGTGCTTGTATCAGAGATATATAAAGGAATTTGAAGACAGCATATTTCCATGCAAAGGGATGTTTTATTTTCTCTGGAATGTTATTCATCTTATTCAATATATGTTAGCCTCCACAAACCGACAGTTTATATTAAACTATTAAAGCTGGTGAAGCTTTCTGGGCCTAGTCCTTAATCACTTTGCAACATCTTGCTAGTTTGAATAGCTCTTAAATTGAGCATGAGTTACATTTGCTCACTTAAGACTCCTCTAACTCTAAATATGAATGGAATAAGGCCCTATTAATTTGATATTTCATATGTATGTGAAACTCATAAAAAGATAATGAATTCAAAGATTTTTTTTTAGCCAGTATAAAACTCATAATCCTTTCACTCTATGATCCGCTGATTATAGCTCTATGACTTCTTTTCTGTTTTTTCTTTTTTTTTAATCTGCAAGGTAAATTTTGTAGTACGAGAAGAAAAAACCCCACTGTTCCAGTTTCAGGAGCTCAAAGCAAAGCTTCATTAAAGTTGAATGGAGACTTGTGAAGAAAATATGTCAACGATAACTAAAGAAAAAGTCTATGTTATTTCTTAATTATGCTTTGAGGTTTCTCTTCAATTGTTTCCCTTCACTGCTAAACAAAACTACTCCGAGTGAGTGCTGGCATGTTGTAAATGGGCTAGAAGGGGCACACATTAGGTTGTATATTGATGTTTGTTTTTCGTATTTACTATCATCATCTTGGTATGGAAACCTCTCCGAGTAAGAGAAGGGGTGCAGGCCTCTGTGTGTGTGTGTATGAACCTGTGTGTAAACAGAGGCACAGCCTACAACCGCAGACTCACTGCTGGAGGCAGGCGAGTCACAACAATTGCCCCACTCCTGCTCGGTACAATTGCCTGCAGGTTTCATGCCGTGGGTGACTGTGGGCACGCTGATCTTCACACAGGCCGCTGCGCGGCCGTGAGTCATGGGGCAATATGCAAATCAGCCTAAAGTCATGAGGAAGAAAAGTGTGCTGCTTCTCTGATCCAAGGGTGCATGCTTTGTAATTAGGTTATAAGTTCTCTACTGCAAGATTTACTTTATCTGTATTTTCACATGATGCATCCTTCTCCCTTCAACCACCTTTACAATTCATGAAATTCTGCTAAGTAACAGCAATAACAAGAAGGAGGAGGACAGCAGATTCATAATTTCCTTTTGATTGCTCTTCAGTGCTTGAAATAGTTTGAAGTAGATGTCTAAAGAATACATTTCTTGATCCTGAAATTCTGTTACTAAAGGGAAACTTTGTAGTACCCTATACCTGTGTGTATGTAGTAGCTGTATAGCTCATTAGCACCTTTAGTATCTAAATATGTTTCCTAAAAGGGAAAGCTATAAAGTAGAATTTCTATAATGTTAAACTAGTGTCAAAACTTCAGGATGACATGGTGGTTTTTTTTTTTCTAGGCTCAGATTTAAGGCCCTCCCTTTAACCTCCTTAAACCTGTAAATTTAATTCTAGTAACATTTTGGGCATCATTTCTCAACATGCTTTTAGTATCCTGCAGTTAGCAGATCTGAACTTTTTCTGAATTTCATGGACCAAGTTAGAAAAGGGGTTGAACATCAAGATAGGTCTTTGAAAAAGAAACTGTGTAATAAGTAGAGAAAAGAGAATGAAAGAGAGGAGGATGAGACAGGACGAATAGGCATCCATCTGGTTTTCTGCTGGTACTAATGGAGCTCTATTAGAAACCAGTTTATTCTAGCTACCAAAATGCACAGCGCCAGCCAAATATAAACAAACCTTCAGTTACAGAAAGGAGGAGCAAATGGCTAAACTGAATTAATCACTTGGCAGGAGAAAAAAATGTAAAGACAAAAAGCTCTTTCAGCCAGGCTAAGACATGCAGAGGAACATGTGATGTTGGCCTGAACTTTGAACATAATGAAATATTCCTAACAAGTTGTTAAAGCAGGAAAAAGATAATAATCCAAAGCGAAATGAAATATTAATTTAGATGCACTCTGAGATTTTTCATAAAAGTTTAAAATTGCTGGACTTGAGGAGAAGTATTCCACTAAAATAGAGCTTTAATGAAATACATGTTTTAGGTGACAAACTTCAGTGAGTAAATATCGAGTCCACATTACTGCTTTTATCTTTTGCTGATGGTTCTTCTCCTCCCTCTTTAAAAGACACTCTTTCTCTCCATGCTCATTAATACCTGAAAATGTCTTGTATTTTGCCACCTCCATTATAGCAGTGATCGTCTGGTAATGGATTCAATTATCTCCACTTCTTATTGCTACCTAAATGCACAGCCATGGCATAGGGGTTTTTCTCTGCCTCTACATGTGTTTAAGTATCAGTGGGTTTTGGAGGAAAAGAATATACATCTCTGTTTGAAATTTTTGGCCAATAAACACTTTCTGAGTAATGGTTTTTATTCTGTTTTCAGGCTTAATTAGGCCTGATGTAAAACAATTCGTAACCGCTAATGAAGTCTAAGCTTCCCATATTTTTGAAATGGATGGATTTCACTTTTCTGCTTGTGGATTGATATTATTTAAATAAACATTGTTTTGTGAACATTTCTGAGTAGGTAGAACCTTCAAACCAATTTTTTAGTGATTATCTTCTCCCTGCAGGTGTCCTTGTCATGAGGAAATACACCTATATGTTTGAAATCACCTAAGCCAAGAATCAGTTCCTTTCTGGAGTGCACAGGAGAGAAATTCTTTTTCGCAGTCACTTTCAAGGTTTCAAACTGGTTTTGTTCTGTATTAGTACAGCCCAAATTTTCTGAACTTTTCGTATGAAAAAAGCTCCAGCATTCAAATTTATTTCCCATATATTACAATGCAAGATCATAAATTTAAAGCTAGATTCTATTTTAAGTCATTGTGTCATGTTTAGATGAGTTTGGAGTATAGAAGGTCCATTGTGTTCCACACTGCATAAACAAATAAGTTTTCTTGTCCCAAATGATTTGCAGTCTGAAAAACTGAATGAGGGATGAGTGTCTGAGTATCAGACTCAGTACTTAAATATATGACAACATTCACACATACATGCTGGCTTACGATTTACAGCAACAAAAAAAAAATGCAGAATTCAAAGTTTGTTAAATGGAAAACTGATTTTCATTAAAGACTATTTTTTTTTAAATGATTTTACCTTGTTTGCTTTTGAGTGAGTTTATAGCCATATCCAGAGCAGAAATACCAGATTATTTGGAAAAGGAGGCAAAGGAAAGGAAGATCTCGAATAGCTGTCAGTCTGGTAATAACTTTGGGGTGCCAAGATGGGAAATACACAGAAACACAGGAATTGCTTGCCTATCTATGCTATGATCAAAGCACTCCTGAATTTACCTGATCACTGAACAACTGCTATGAGACTTAGGTGAGGAAGGTGACCTTCCTTGGTACCAGGAAGAGGACTTTGTACTTGTTACTGTGGCACTGCAGAATGGGTGTACCCTGCCAGAGCCTTTGTCCAGGATCTTGAACCTGGCAGCTGAAAATAAAATTCTGGACCTCCTGCCTAGTTACCTGAAGTATGATGTATCCAATTTGTTGCTGCTTTTCTACTCCTCCAATACTGTCACTCAAAACAGAGAGTAAGACTAGGCTTTTAGCAGTATCTGGTTCATTGGAGAGTACCAAGGAGACAATCTCCTTTGCCCAGTGTCCATGCTTCCAAGGCCCACCAATCGAGTTGTGGATTGACTTGCTCCATCCCAAAGAGTTGCAGCCCTGAGATACTCCCTCGTTGTCCATTTGTTCAGCATAGGCAGTAGTGGCAGTAGGTCTTTCCACTTCATAACTCAACGGTCATCTTAGAAATAAGACAGAAGAAAAAATGACAGAATTAGGTACTACGAAAAGGTCATCTATTTAAGTTGACATATAAAATGTGTCCTACTCCCCACATCCTGAATACTGAATTTTCATTGAAATTAATTTTCATGATAAAAGCAAGTTCGGAAATTACTGTGGTCAGAAATCTGTGCTCGCTTTAAATAATATATGCATCTGCTTTTTGCTTCTTGGACAATTCAATCATTTAATCAAGTGGTTTTATTTTACTGTCATCAGGGTTTTATCTGAGATGTCACAAAAAGTATATTTTCCCCAATGGGATAAGAGTAGGAGTTCTCTCTATGTTATTATCCTAAAATGATATATCAGCCAAAAAATTTGTTTCTCAGGTAATAAAGCAAGGAATGTGTAGTATCAAAAAAAGGATATATTTTCTCATACCCAGAAATGGTTGAAAGATGAAAAGTAATCTATGTTCATATATTACAGAATATGAGTGCACTTTACTAAAGTGAAAGGAAAGCAATTTTAAAGTACCTCCATAATTCAGAGGCATGGCTCCATTTCAAACTGATAAAAATTGTGCTTTGAAGTAACTTACACGCTTTTGAAAATCATAGCCAGAAGCAAATACCTATTGTCAGGAGAATAGAATTATATCCTAAGGGAAATGATTATAATCTATATACCAAAACATGCCAGAGGAATGTATAACTTTGCTGTTTGTTTCGGACAATTTTACTTCAGATTTCATTTGGCACTGATCCTCATCCCAATAGCTTTCAGGAAGACTTTCTTCTACTCCACAGGAAAAGAAGTGAATAATAAAACAATAAATGGTAAAGTTTATACCTAGTCTCACAAGATGCAGAAAGTAAATAATTTCTGCATATTTGCAAGTTATGACAACATTTTAAACTTGATTTTTGTGTAGCCAGAAGACAACATTTATGGCTTATGACTGGGAAGCTGGCAGGATATCATTCTCCTGATTACATACAACAGATATAATGTCATCCAAAATATATGCCCTAGAAACTGGCATTAGCTGCTCAATTAAGCCAGGAAAATAAAAGATGCAAATATATCAATTAAGTAGATTTTCCTCACGCTGTTTTACCATCACTCTATTTTGACCTGTTTTTAAGTTGTACAAGAAGGCACTCACACAGACACTGAAAGCGTACAGCATTTCTAAACACGCAGAATGAGCAAGGTGCTACTTTACTCTGATGCCCTCCTTCCAGGATCTCTTCATGATCCCCACAGTTATGGGTAGAAAGATGCTCATCCAGAGGGAGACATCGAGTTTCAAATCTGATGCCACCCATGGACTAACTCTCTCCATTGTCCACGCTACTAACCCTCACTGATCTCCTGACCATCGTATGCCTCCACCTGATTTCTGCAGCAAATCCATCTTGAGCTTAGCAACAGCACCTTGTCAGTCCTAGTCTTCACAGACAAGCAATTCAAAGAGTTGTGGGTGTTGGTGCACCTGACAGATGGATATGAATCTGCCTCTCCCTGTCTCTGCCTGTGATATATGGTTTATCTATAGGTGAGTGCATGTATGTATACACACACACACATAGATATCCATGTATATATAGCCAAATGCATTTATACAGGTGTACATATATGTGAACAGTTTATGTATGTACTATTTTATATATATATATGCGAGCTCCAATATAAGTATTATCTGATAAGAACACCTGCCACCAACAAGAGTTAACTTTTGAAGCTGTTTTCACATTAGTCCATCTTTTGTAGGATAATAGATCTCATCACTGCCAGACTTACAATGAGGAGTAAAAAGCAAGGAGTATGATGATGAGTAATATAATCATTAGCCATTTAAGTATCCCAAAGGTACAGTCATACTCTTTCTTTTACCAATCATAAAACAAACAAAGGCTGTTTGCTAAATTAAAACACAACATGCTAGATTACTAACCCATTTCTTTTGATGAATTTGAATTTGAGCCACAGGTGGTTTATTTTATACATAAGCATTTGATAGCAATATTAATGTATTCAAAGGCTTAATTAATTAATAATAAAAATATTAATTAATTCAAAGGCACATACAGTTCATAATTTTCAAAGATACTAAATTTCTAAATGTATTTGTAGAATTATAACCTTTCTTTAAATGTACTCTCAGGATTTTTTTACCAGCCTCTCACATTATGAATTCGCATCTACTAATTTTCCTTTTTGTTTTTCCCTTTATCAGCTAATCTGTGTAAAAACTACAGCTAAATCTTCCACATCAGGCACTCTGCACATAATAGCTATCATCCTTTGGCTGGAGCGAGGTAGTAAGAGCTCTCTCTTTTTTCTTCTTAGAACACAAGCTGTTTTAGTTTGGGTTTCACAGTGGTGCATCCAAATTCATTTACACATTTTTTCCAAGGGATTTAATAGATTCCGTACGCAGGAATTCTCTGATTTGTAATCCTTCTATTTCTCACATCGAAGGACATGATATTGAAAAGATTCCAGTCTTTTATCTCAGATACAAGAGAGGAAATTCTACAGAAGAAACCAAACATAAAATCTTCTAAACCACTGTAAAGAGAAAGTAAGAACACCTGGTTGGTTTTTTTTTTTTTCTAAAATTTCTAAATAAACAAAGCTAAAATGGCTGAAATCACCCTTCCCTCCTCTAACCCCATTTAAGTTTTTAACTGAATAGGCCAAGCCTTCAAGTCTGTACTGCACTGGAACTCAAGCCAAACTCAAACTCCATGAATTAAGGAGCTGGCCTAGTGAATTTATACAACTGACAATTTGCTCTTTTAAATACAAGACTAAATTCTCAGAGACATAAATATTCTACTGGTACAGACAGTAATTAGGCTAAAATAATGAGAGAGATTCAAATTATCCAAGATTTTTAAAGCTTTGTCTTTAAATTTTTGTTTTCAACAATAATCTTTTTTACCTATTAAATGTCTGTAATCTTGTCACGTAAAGCAGTGTTATCATTATCAAAGAGATAAGGAAAATAGAGAAATGCCAATGACTGGAAGATTCTCTCAGTTTGTGAAAATCCCCAAATAAGGACATAATTTCTACTGATGAATAAAAACTGAAATATAAGACATTATGCTTATACAGGAGCATGAATACGTGTACAGATATATTTGAAGAATTAGACTTGCTCAACTAAATCTCCTTCTTCAGCGTAGTCCATTCTTGGCTCTTCCACTAAATGCTGAACTGAGGCCTAGTTGCTACTGCTGCATCATTTTGGGCCGATTCACTAATGAGCACTATATTCATTATGCACACATGAGTCTGGCTGCCAAAATGACACAACACTCAAGTTGCCATCACGAAGTACGGAGCAATCACCATCCTCCCTCCCTGCAGCCTATTAATGAGCTTATTTGTTTAGCAAGAAGCTCTGTTCTCTATTCACCTTTTTTTCCAGCTTTTGACAAATTTATGAAAAGTTGGTGGAAATACATAATCCTCTGTAAAACAACTGGAAAAATACTCAGTTTAATTTAGTAGTATTTATCTGTTGGATAATCTGTAGGATTTATCTATTGGATAAACCTGGCTGTTACTCTCTGCCCCCAATATAAATAAGAATTTCCCATAATTAAAGACTAAAGTTTGATTGTGTGTAATCTGTTTACTTTCATAGGTAAAAGAGAATAATATTATTTGCATGCTTTTTCACTGAGATCCCTTAGGAAATCAATAATATATTTCCATTTTTTATAGCAAAATCCATCCTTTTCATCGATTAAACAATGGTATCAGCAGGACGAAGTAGACAAGGCTTGTTTTGAAGGGTCTTGTGGTCCCCATTTGTCATGTCCACGTAAGACCGTTGCATTTTAAAGATAAGAGAGCAGGAATATCAGCTTTCTAAGTGGTGCTTTCATGTGAATCCCGCATTAATTGTCTCTTTGTATATATTCACAATAGAGTCATTACTTGGGACACACTATTTTTGTTAGCAAAATGTGCATTTGTAAAGAAGCTTTCCGCTTTTTTAATCCTATACTTCACCTGAACAAAGATATGGAGCTTGCCAAACTTTCTCAACCTGTGGGTGAGTTGCTGGATCCTGCAGCTCGAAATGCTGATTCTGCCTCCTGGCTTCCTTAGAGATTTCAGCTCGAAGGGAGCCTGATGCACCAAGCGGCAGCGCTCAAGGGTACCATGCCTGTCTGCCCTGCTCAGGGGTACCATGCCTGTCTGCCCTGCTCAGGGGTACCATGCCTGTCTGCCCTGCTCAGGGGTACCATGCCTGTCTGCCCTGAGGCACACACCGCTGCCGCGCACATTCCTGCCGCCTCCTCTTACTCTGGGGAGTTATTTCTTGCGAGTTCATACCTGCAGCAGAGGGAAGCTTTTGTTCGCATGTACTTACACATTGTCAAGGACAGGGAAACTCTGTTGCCTACCACAGAAATTTTGCTGTTGACTTCACTGAGCGCAGGATCAGTCCCCGCTGTCACAGCCCTGAGCCATGAAAGACGGGCAGTATCATAAGAAAAGCACATTTACAGAGAATTAAACTCATGGTCTACTCACTAGTTAATTTCAGTTCCACAGTATAACACCCCATACTGCTCTCAGGTATACAGTAGCAACCAGGCTAAATCAACAACTCCAGGAAAAAGAACCAACCAAACAAGACCTCCCCAAACTCCAAACCCTGGTCATGCATACCAGCACCTACAAAGTGCACTAGGACCTCTGCTAACTGCATTTAAGGTTTGCTTTTGAGTCACAAGCCTGGTATAGCCGCATGCGTCTCATTTTGAAACTTCTAACTGCACTGTTAGAATGACTCTTCAAAGTCTAGGTATACTTTCATAGAAAATTATCGCCAAAGTAATATAAATTCCTTGATATACCATTTGTCTAGCAGTAAAGGGGAACCAAATTAGAGTGGTCTACAAAGAGATCATCCATCAAGAATATTAGTGTAAATATTGCATATTTTTCTTTCTGTACACAGAAAATAGCCCTTACTATATTTTC